AAAAGAATGAAGTGGTTCATATATCTAAAATTAATTTTTATCTTGTCTTGAAGTTAATTTCAGCCGTGGGGGCATTATAATGTGACAGTCAATCCCACTATTCGTTGGTAAAAGAGTAGCGGTGGGTGGTGATTAGCTGCCTTCCCTCTAGTCTTACACAGCTAAATTAGGGACGGCTAGCGCAGATAGCCCTCGTGTAGCTTTGCGCGATATTCAAAACAAACAAACTCTTTTTCATTCATAATTCTAAGACATGAGAGCTTGAAGAAGTGCAATGGGGTAACAATCTTCTTTTACTATGCTTAATTCAGTGAACTATTTAACACTGTGTTTAAATATAGATTTATAGTATTGTCTTTATTCATGTATATATATATATATATATATATGTTAAACTATAATCACATTTTATACCAGCTAGTTTTTGAGCTAGGACTCCAATAAAATTTGCACAATAATGGGCAACTACAATAAATGAAAGTAATCAGTGGCATAACCAAGGCTTGAGCCTCTCTAGGCATGTAACTGACCAATGCCTGAGAGAGTGGTGATAAATTCTTGACCTATAAAAGAACTGAAGAGATAAAAAGTTAGTTTGTTTAGTAGGGGGGGTGAGAAGTGTGAAGAGTGGAAATGAATAATCAATGAGCTGATAGAATCCCATGTTAGTGCTTAATTAAGTGTATCACTTAATTTGTATGATTAAATGCTCTCTGTGTGTAGAACGGGTAACCTGGCTGGATTTGTATTGAAAATAATGTTGTTTTGATATAATTACATATAATGCAATGCCAGAACATTCTACATTTCTTTGGTCATAAACTCGGGCAGGTTCTGCATACATACATACATACAAAGGGACCAGAACAAAGTGATGTCTGAAAAGTGAGTATGCCATGATGATGCATAGACAACTTTAAAGGCTTGTTTGCATCACTGAAAGTAACTAAGACAGGTTTTTATTATATATATTTGAATTGACAATGAACAGCAAGAATATTTAACGTAAAATAATATTTTCATCTTAAATTTTAATCTGTGACTTTTTTTGACCCTGCAGACTTCTATAAAGGGTATACGTTCAGTTATCTTCCCAGGCAGGAAGGACCAGAACTCAACTTAATATGTTTTCACACAATTATGTGCACAGGTAGGATAAATAAAGACAAGTTTTGAATAAGACATAAGGACTATGACCATTTCACCAAAGCATGTTTCTACTTTTACCAGGACTTATTTGGAAAATTAGATGATTTCACTTAGTGTTGAATCAAATCTCTCAGTTATCTTTCTGTCTTCGTATATTTTAATTTTGTAGTGTTGAAAGAAATATAAAATGGTAAATATTTACTTTAAAAACCTAGATTTGAAAAATATTCTATGGTGATAAGCTTCTGCATACCATACATATGAAACTTTAGCATGAAACAACTAATGTTCATTAATTTATAGCATAGTAAAATTTTGCAATTAGGTCTAAATATATTCTAATTAGTTATACGTGTAATTTTTTCATTAAATATTTGAGTTCAGAAGTATTTTTTTTTTATTACAGAAAATCCATAAATTTCATTCTGTTTTTGTTTTCCACACATCATGCTCAAGATAATTCTTTTTTTATTGTATAGAATAGCTGAAAATTCTTCTTTTATTTTTTTGTTGAAACACTATGCAAAAAGCTTTCACACTTACTCTTTCTTCCTACTTACTATCAAAATGTTAATGAGGAAAATTGAAGTTAAACTCTTGTTTTATATCTTCAAAAGCATTTCCAATGAGCAGCTTAAGTTTTAACTTCTTAACACACACAAAGTTTACTTAATTCTTCATTTTTTGAATATATATGTTAAACTATAATCACATTTTATACCAGCTAGTTTTTGAGCTAGGACTCCAATAAAATTTGCTCAATAAAGACATTATTGTTTTAATAGTCTCTACCTTCTTAACATAATGTCCTTCTGAATTTCAAGTTGTATTGCCTTTATTATCTTTTACAAAGGAAAGAAACCTTACCAAACTTTTGCAAAACTGGAAATTTTGACTCCAGTTTTAGCCCCAAGAGAGGAATTGTCAATTAATGAGGACAGGTCATCAAGATATTTTTATCGACTGAAACACACTCTTCATATTATTCTGTGAGAGAAGGAGCTTAAAACTGAAACATTGTGTATAGTGGTAGGACGAGATTTACATCACCTATTTTGTTAGATGTTTCTTGCTTATCAGTGGGTCACCTTAGCTAATACTTTGTCTTGTTGTTATTTTAGTCTTTATTACTATGTCATACATTCTCGAGATTGGATATTTATTTTAACATTGTTGAGTATTAGACAGTGGGTTTTAAAATCTAAGATTTTGTATACCCTGCAAGTTCCAAGCAAGAACTGAAAATATGGATATTTATTTTAACATTGTTGAGTATTAGACAGTGGGTTTTAAAATCTAAGATTTTGTATACCCTGCAAGTTCCAAGCAAGAACTGAAAATATGGATATTTTTTAGAATTTCTTATTAGATTGCCTGCCTCCTGTTACAGGCTATTTTTGTGTTAGAAATACATACATATATATATATATAACAATTTTCACTTAGTCTTATTTCCAATTAGCATTGTTATTTAATGCTAAATATTAAACATAGAAGTGAATAAGAGAACAAAAATATCTAAAATGTTTAGATATTTTATGCTACAGAATTTTAACTGTAAATACCAATCTTTAGTTTGAATTACCAAAGACTTGAGTAAAACATAAACCCCAAGTTCAACAACAAGGAAGGGTAATAACTAAATGAAATTTTAAATAAGAGATGGAGGGGAACTTTTGAAAATTAACTATTCTTCTGTGATTTCATATATTCTTTAAATTATAAAAAAGTGAGGTAAGATAAAACAAAGTGAAATGATTTCCAATGTTAGTATGTATATGTTTTTTTCCTGTCTTCTACTGGTTTGAATAAGGAGAGATGTATCACCTTTTTCTCTCTGTTTCTGTTGTCAGTATAAATAATGTTTTCTTAACATCAGATTGATGTAAAAACCTACAGTCATAATTAATGTATGCATGTAATTTGAATAAAATCTGTGAAAGAACTTAAGAATTTCAAGTAGAATCAATACTCAAATTTTGGATCCATGTATCAAACTTTGCAAACAGGTATTAAGTAATTGATACTTGAAACCATTGGTACTTGGTGAAACTCCATAACTACAGAATTGATGAAAAACAAGAAAATTGTACATTTCTCAAATACATCATTTACTCATAACCATGGTTTCACCAGTAAAGGCATTATTACCTGATGATGCTTTTACTGTCAAAACCATGGCCGTGAGTTAATGTATTTATGAAACAGTTGTCTTGTTTTTCCTTAATTCTGTAAGTGTTAAGTAAGTTTGTTCAATATATAACTTGTATCTGTATTTAATATCAATGATCCAGAAATGTTGAAATAATCCAAAATAGGTATAACAGAGATTTTTTTATATCCATTAAAGTCAAAATATTACCATGCACAAAATGTCATATGTTGACTGTCACCTGAAAGTAAGTAAATAGTAGGTAGTCCATTGGGAAACATCTTAATACAGTCCAGCGGATAAGCTTGAAATTCTTCAAATTGTAAGGAAAGCATGAAAATTGGCATACATATAGATTTTCATATAGAGCTGCATATAAAAACAAAACCCATTGCAAATCTTGCCCCAATCAATAGCCATCTCTGATTATAATATGGCCACCATCAAAAACCAGCATTACTCAACTATATGCTTTATATGTACATTAAAATGTCACCTAAATATTTAAAATTTGGCATACTTATGGAAATTCATGCATAAACAAGATCCATACAGCTGCCATATTGAATTCCAATAAATCCATAGAAATGTTACCTTAATATCCAAAACCACATTTCCCCTATCAGAGAGGGAATTATAGCATTTAATTTAGTGTATTAAGTTCTCTAGTTAATGTCTAAAATTTTACTCTTTATAGTAGAAATAGCATCATGAGTCCAGCTTATATATTGTATCACATGGCAATACAATCTTCCCCACATTTATTGTATTTTTATTAAAGTATGTTTAAGTAGCCATATACAAAAGTCTTGAAATAAATAGTTATATCAGCTGTATAGCATATGAATTATGATGCACACCTGTTAAATGTTTACCACAATGTGAAACATCATCCATCATTTGTGTAAACTTTACTCAAATACAAAGACACAAAAATAACAATCACACTTAAAGCACTAATAAGTGTCCAAATTTTATTGTAACTTATGCTATAACAATCATGTGATTCATCCAAATGTGTGTATAATTTACACCAACATAGATAAAGACAATGTAAAGTATATCCCAACTATCACGGCCTTTTGAAACATTAATCTTGGTGGCAATTTCCAGCACAGAAACATATTGCAATGAAGTGCAAGCTAGCCTTGCAGTATTTACAGAAACCCCTGCATGCTTTCTTGCAGGAGCATGGATGAGCTCATAGCAGAATTTGGCAGCCTCTGATAGGGTTACCCACAGTGGTGTTCAGCCTTGGTCTGCTTGATCCCAACCTCATTCACCTAGAGTCGGTACATCCTGTTTAGGCACTAGTGATTGCCACATATACGACCAGCCTGATAAGCAGCTCTTTTGACATACTGCCCAAGAACATCCTGCATTGGAGGGATGTTTTCTTTGGGCAAAGAGTGTTTGATGGTTCTGGTTCACATAACTAATTGGGCAAGGGTGGCTTACATTAATACAGAGCACCATTTTATTAATTCAAGATCTTCCTGCATGTTTTCTTGTGGTATTTTTTGAAAGGTTTGTAAATACTGTTGTCACATTAGGATATGCCTTCCATGTCTCAAATGTGTTTTTACTTCATCCTCCAGAGAAGGCTGACACAATATTGCAACCCATGAATGTATGAAAGAAGGCTTAGCATGTGCTTGGAAGAAGATCATTGGCAGTGCTGTGTACAGGGATGCATGAAAAGTTTTTGCCAACTTCAAAGGCAATCCATAATTTCTGTATGTGTAATTTGTACACACAGGCAGTTGCCAGAATTATAACATCATTATCCATTGCTCTGATAATTTCTTTAATGTATTATTCGTTGGCCACATGCAAGATGAAACTGGTATCTGCCCCCTCATGATTGCATTGGATGAGTATATGCATAACAAAAAGAGTTGAACTGACAACAACATTATTATAAGTGCTGACCAACTCAACCCCTATAGGTTAATAATAGCTAAATGCTCTGTTTACAATTTTGTAGTTGTCCACTTGATTTTCAAATACAATAGCAAACTAGCAATGGTTAGCAGTGTGTTTTAATATTATAATGACTTATGAATTTATTTAAGTGTTAAAACCAAACTCACTGTCCAAGACAAAATGTGTTTAGATATTTATATGACACTTCTATGAAAATTAGAAGCATATAATTATGCTGGTTTTTTGTGGTGGACATGTTGGAATTCAATATGGCAGCTGTTTGTGACAAGATCTGGAATCTTGCTTTTGTGTGAATTTAAGTATGGAAATCTATATGTATGCCAAATTTTAAATATATATATATGACATTTCTATGTACATTTGAAGCATACAGTTAAGTAATTCTGGCCATATTAGAATCCAAGATGGTAGCTGTTTAGGGCAAGGTCTGCGATGGGTCTTGCTTTAATATGAATCTCCATATGAAAATCTGCCTGTATGTAATTTTCATACTTTTCTTGCAATATGAACAACTTGGATAGTTTTTGGTGCTTATTTGTTGGACTAATACATGTATTATAAAATAAAAGTTATCTTTATTTTATTTAGAATTAGAAAGAAAATTGTGATGAATATATTTTATAAAAAACAACAAGTGTTTGCGTTAATTATTTTTCATTCCCTGATAATTTTCAGTACATCTAACCAGTTTCACTGAAATAACAAATTGTAAACTATGAATACAATTAATATTTAGTATAATACTGAGGGGAATATTATCCAGTTCTATTAACCTTTTCCTCTAAAATTATCCCCTGTAATGCTTCAAATTATAGTTACCCATCCCCTCTTAATTTGAATTTACTTTTACAAACAAGGACATAAATAAAGATGTAAAACATTTTCATGGCATTTTTTTTTTCAGTGACTAATATGTCATATCAAAAATTATAAATTATTCTGGCAAACCCTTTTGTTTTCACATATGAATGAAAAATAATATTTTATGTATCCTGTGAATTAGTCCCTTTTTTACCATTCTTTTGATATTTAAAGTTATTTTACAGTTTCCTTCATATATTATTCCATCGTATATATGAAATATGTAGCACTCAGTCCTAAAACAAGTTTTAGTTTTATTTTCCTACAGCTAAAAGTAAACATTCTGCTATTTAGAAATGTCTGAATGTCTCAGGCAGATCTGAAATATCCTGGTGATTAACATTTCTTGAAGTAAACAAAGATGTTTCGTTTTATTAAAAGAATGAAGTGGTTCATATATCTAAAATTAATTTTTATCTTGTCTTTGAAGTTAACTGTTGAGTGTTCTCATGCAATATGTTTGTGCAAAGACACATTTTTTTAATAGTTTCCATCCAAAGTCTATCTCTGTGTTTTCTTTAACCTTATTAAAACATACACAATAGTTTTTAGAAAATTAGTGTAACAAAATACCATTTTGTCCAAAAACATTATAGAACATGCTAAATGGAACTACAGATATTCCACTGTTTTTATTTGAATGTCAGATCTTTGTCACCAGCATTGTTATTACCTTTTTTTTTTGTAATTGATATATTTCTTTGTAATGTACTTTTATTATTACTAGAAGTACCCTATTATGAGGACCAAAATAATGATAAGTAGAACAGAATCATGTCCTGCTACTTTATTTTATAAAATCATTTCTTGTAGAACTGTAAATCTACTAAATTTCCATAACTGAAAATTTTCCCATAATTTGATTTTTATCAGACATTTTAATGTTGTTTAATTTTTCTAATTTAAAAGAAGTCTAGAAAATAAACTGTTTATTCAACTATAATATATTTTTCCATTAGTTTGCCATGTTGTTTTATATAGAGGTAAAAATATAAATAGCAGCTGTAATTTTCTCATGGTGATTGTGGTAAATGCCAACAATACTATGAAACTTAAGAGAATAAAAACTATTCTATTGTTTCTGTAGTGTGTTTTATTGGCCTTAAGCAGTCCTTTAATTATATTTTATGAATTATAACATTTATCTGTCATTGATATCTACACCTTTCATATAGGAGAGGTATAAATTTTGGGACAGTGCATGTAAGTTTATTAAATTGTTAGAGGTAATGTCAGCCACTGCATACAAAGTAAAGAATAAGCACTCTTAATGTATGTGTCAGTTTGTAGATGATTAGCTTAAGAATTTACGTTTTGGTATGCACAGATATCAAAGACTCGAGGCATATGCATGTTGTTATCGCTACCAAGACATTATAAGATACAAAAAATATGTTTAACAAAACTGAAAGATGCAAAATTAGACATTTCTGAATGTTAAGTTAGAAATTTTTGTGATAAAAATCATGCATAGGTGAAACAAAATATTCAAAAAATTCCCTTTTTTTATGAATGAGATCAATATTATGCATTAGTGAGTATAAAGTAAGTTTAACTTCTAAATGAAAAGTACATAAGTTGTCAGAAAATTAAGTTTAACAGAAGAACTCTAATGAAATTGCAAGATAATTTTCAGCTGAACTTAACTATGAGTTTTTATCATAAGTATTCTAATAAAAACTAAATATTATCCACTAAAAACCTAATTAAACATAGCTTTTAAAAATTGAAATGTCATATCCATAAAGAAAAAAATCTAATTCTAAACACAGATATTGTTAGGAGGAACGTCTTAGACTTGAAATTGAGTTTTCTGGCCATGAATTATGTTTCCATAAAGATGCATCTCCAGAATGTCTATACATTTACTTAAGTGTAAAATGTGTTCAGCATTTAGTGTTGAATCCCATAGATTCAACTCACTCGGTTCTCCTTCTAGACTTTGTTTAGTATCAAATTTACCACCCACACTGGCCTGGACTTGTTCAAGAAAAACCGCATCACCATAAAGAAGAGCCTCGTTAGCTAGCTGAGTATCAGTTCCATGATGATGTTACCACCCACACTGGCCTGGACTTGTTCAAGAAAAACCGAATCACCATGA